AGGGCTGCAGTGCCAAGAGAGGTTTCTCGCTCATCTAAAATGATATGCCCAATAAAATCGATATAAAGAGATCCTGGACAAGCACTGGTTCCATTCTGCAACAAACTGCTCCAAACACTCCATGTTTTGCAATAAAATTGGAATACAATTTTAACATGTTAAAGATCATCTCCCTGGCCAATAAAATGCTCAGACCAACCCCTTAACAATAAAATGGCTAGCCTGACTCCAATTTTGAAATTCCAATACATTACGGATCTCGCTTAGACTATGCGCAAGTCATCCATTTCTAGTGTGGAAACTGCCAAGGGGGTCCTTCTGGCATACGTATATTCTGACATTCTTTCTGGGATATGTTCGGAGATTCTTTGTGGATGAGGTCCGCCGGCGGGGAACACTCTGATCCGGAGCTCGCAGTTAAGGTCCTGCGGGGAACATTTTGATCCGGAACTTGCAGTGGAGGTCCGGCGGGGAACACTGCGATCTAGCGCTTGCGGTTGAGGTCCGGCAGGGAAAATTTTGCCTCAGAGGTTGCTGGGGGGGAACGCTACGATCTTAGAGCGTGCAGTTGAGGCCCGGCGGGGATCACTTTGATCGTTCGGGTCTGGCGGGGAACACTGCGATCTAGAGCTTGCAGTTGGGGATCACTCTGATCCAGGGGTTGCTGTTCGGGTCCGGCGGGGAGCGCTGCGATCTAGAGTCTATAGCTTGCAGTTGAGGTCCGGCGAAAGAGGAGGAGGACAAGGAGCAGGAGGAGGAGGAGGCTTGGCCAGCTGGCATAAAATCTAACAACCCTCACCTGACAGGTGGGGAAAAATGATTGAAACATACATATTAAACATACGGAAACTGCGTACCAGCCGTGGTCAATGATGATCTGTCAAGGCCCACATTGAAGCTGTGAGGCTGCTGAACTTCGACAGTGAGTGGTGGGATAAACGTAAGACAGGGGGACTTAATACAGGGGGACTTGCGAGGGCTGGTGAACACATCTGATTTGTGGATCGAATCGCAAGATCCAAGGTGCCGACAACTCGCTCCTTGATCGGCCATTCGTCAGCCCAAGCCCGCAGTTCTTCCACCGCTGTCCGTCGGCGCTTGGGCCCTGGGCCTGGTGGTCTTGTCAGATTATTGAGCAAGTAAAACCGCCTGCTAACATGCTCACCGCTCACCCAAGTCCATGAATGAAGCCAACCGGTCTGGGTACCCCATTTGTTCAAGAAAATCCACATGTCCTACTCACCCAAACCAACTGGGAACTTGGGCATGTGGCCCCCTTGGCCCGCAGCAACATTGAAAACTTTCACTTCAAACATTGCAGCAGAAACCACAAGCTAGAAACTTCCACCCGCCATTGGACACAGGGGGCTACCGTTTGAGCGCCTGAGACCCAATAATATAATATGATATTCACCTGCTTGAGGGTTGTTGGGGTCATGTCTTACCAAATCCCAAAAACATCCAAAAACGTAACCAGTAAAGTTTAACATAGTCCAGCAGTAGCGGATCCAAGGCAAAGTATTCACCAACCAATAAGGCGATGTTCTAGCCGGACATGGTTTCCTTGGGGGACAGAAAAAAAACATCTGCCAAATTAGGGACACCAATGTGGGAGGTAATTACTCAGTGTCAGGATGTAAACGGAAGCATGCCTGATTCGTCATAACTTCGTCGCTTCTTGCGTTCCTAGGGGAGGCACACAGCTGGAACATCCAAACAATTTCTGGATCGCAAACGGGCAAATACCTGGATTTCAGGTACCCCCATTGTTTTTCATGTTTTTCCCTCTTTTGCTGAAAGGCAGAAGTTTCTGCCCGAAGTTCTCAGCATCGCCTTGTGTCTTCAAAATTGCCTTTTGGGAAATCCTGAAGCCCAAGCTGCCCTAACCAATATTCCACTAGACAAATATCCTGATTTACCCACAATTATCTCAATATATTTCCACAGATTCCTTGGTGTGCCCAAACTATCCCACTACATTTCTTGGTTTAACCAAACTATGCCCAGAAGTTTTTCATTTCACAAACTATCCCAATGCATTATTGCCTTACCCAAACTATCTCACATGAACCGAGTCAGCTATCAAAAAAAATAAAAGTCATCAAAAAATAATTTAATTTCTCATCAAAAAACAATTAAACTCATCAAAAAAAAATCCCTCATATCCTGGCCTGCGCAAGCCAAACGCAAAATACAAGCATCATGAAATCTGTGCATTGCATCATCAAAAAATATGTTTAAATTATTTTTTGATGATTTATTTTTTTTGGAGGGTCATCGGTAAAACAATTATTACTATCAGAAAAAGTATATTAAAAAGGAATATACTTGGGAGGGACGGTTGGGTGGGCTTGGTCGACGCCGACATGTACGAGTCATCGCACAAGGAACACGTATTGGTTCGCAAGCTGTTCAATAACGAGGCACTGGGCCAAACAACATTGAATCCAATGGGCTACAAAAACCATTCTTTCCATCATGTTTTCCAGGCACGGGTGGGTGGGCCTGCTGTATACGGAAGCTTGCGCAACAACGCACGGCTACGCGATGAAGTATGCTTGAAAAAGGCCGAAGAGCCAAAAGCCAAATGGCCAGAGGCCAACAGGTCAAGCCTGGCGCTAAAACCCAGAGGCTAGAAGCCAGAAGCCAAAAGCCAGAAGCCAAAACCCGAAAGCAGAAGCTAGAACAGAACCGGCACAAGCCGGGGGCGGAAATGTCCATAGGAGGAAGTAGTGATTTTTTTGGCAATAAAAGGAGTAATTCTTCTTTGGTTGCTGCTATTGCCGGCGTTTTTTGAGATGCCCTCGCAGCACACATTTTTCAGCGCGGATATATGCCGGGGAGGTATTTCAGCCGGTCTCGGCGCCCCTGTACCCACGTAGGATTCAAGTTAAAACAAGAACAAGGGCGCAGCGCCTCCCCCGAAACAGAACAGTATAGGTGGGCCGTATCTCCACCTTTGTGGCGTTGTCACAGCACAGAAGCAAACCAAGCATGTGGGCTGGGTGGCTAGTTGGCTGGTCAGTTCCTCATTTGCTCGGTTGCTTGGTTGGTTCGCTTTATATGTTTGGTGTTTTCAACTATAACCAAAGTAACTCAACAAGAGCCACATGTTTGGCCTCCCCCCCTGGAAATGCCTTGGGTCACATGATCATGACACATTCATTCGCAATGTAGGTGGGCCTTATCATCCACCTTTCTGGCGTTGTCACAAGCCGCGGGCGGGGCTTTCAAATATAAAAAGGCGGGAGGGGGGCGCGGGGGGAAGCGTCACATGAGTGGTGTCCACAGGATTACTCTATACCTCTCGTGAGCCTTGACAGCGTATACCAAGATGCTCAATACTCATGCAGTACCCACGTAGGATTCAAGTTAAAACAAAAACAAGGGCGCAGCGCCTCCCCCCAACAGAACAGTATAGGTGGGCCGTATCATCCACCTTTGTGGCGTTGTCACAGCACGGAAGCACAGCAAGCATGTTAGCTGCTTGCCTGGTTGGTTGGTTGTTTGGTTGCTTGGCTGGTTCGCAGCTTCACTGTCTTGGTTGTAGTCGTTTGGTGTGTGTGTGTGCGCGTGCAACCGAACCAAAATAACAAAAGGTTGACAAAACAAGAGCCATACATGTGGCCTCCCCCTGGAAATGCATCGGGCACCAGTGCCATGTTCCTGAAAAAAGCACCAACGCGCCTCCCCCCGCAAAGCGTCACATGAGTGGTGTCTACAGGATTACTCTGAAATACTCTATACCTCTCTTGAGCCTCGACAGCGTATATAAATATGCTCCATACTCATGCAGTACCCACGTCGGATTCAAGTTAAAACAAAAACAAGGGCACAGCGCCTCCCCCCAACAGAACAGTATAGGTGGGCCGTATCATCCACCTTTGTGGCGTTGTCACAGCACAGAAACAAACCAAGCATGTGGGCTGGGTGGCTAGTTGGCTGGTCAGTTCCGCGGTTGCTCGGTTGCTTGGTTGGTTCGCTTTATATGTTTGGTGTTTTCAACTATAACCAAAGTAACTCAACAAGAGCCACATGTTTGGCCTCCCCCCCTGGAAATGCCTTGGGTCACATGATCATGACACATTCATTCGCAATGTAGGTGGGCCTTATCATCCACCTTTCTGGCGTTGTCACAAGCCGCGGGCGGGGCTTTCAAATATAAAAAGGCGGGAGGGGGGCGCGGGGGGAGCGTCACATGAGTGGTGTCCACAGGATTACTCTATACCTCTCGTGAGCCTTGACAGCGTATATAAATATGCTCAATACTCATGCAGTACCCACGTAGGATTCAAGTTAAAACAAAAACAAGGGCGCAGCGCCTCCCCCCAACAGAACAGTATAGGTGGGCCGTATCATCCACCTTTGTGGCGTTGTCACAGCACAGAAACAAACTAAGCATGTTAGCTGGTTGCCTGGTTGGTTGGTTGTTTGGTTGCTTGGCTGGTTCGCTTCTTCGCTGTCTTGGTTGTAGTCGTTTGGTGTGTGTGTGTGTGTGCGTGCAACCGAACCAAAATAACAAAAGGTTGACAAAACAAGAGCCATACATGTGGCCTCCCCCTGGAAATGCATCGGGCACCAGTGCCATGTTCCTGCAAAAAGCACCAACGCGCCTCCCCCCGCAAAGCGTCACATGAGTGGTGTCTACAGGATTACTCTGAAATACTCTATACCTCTCTCGAGCCTTGACAGCGTATATAAATATGCTCAATACTCATGCAGTACCCACGTCGGATTCAAGTTAAAACAAAAACAAGGGCGCAGCGCCTCCCCCCAACAGAACAGTATAGGTGGGCCGTATCATTCACCTTTGTGGCGTTGTCACAGCACAGAAGCAAACCAAGCATGTGGGCTGGGTGGCTAGTGGGCTGGTCGGTTGCTCGGTTGCTTGGTTGGTTCGCTTTATATGTTTGGTGTTTTCAACTATAACCAAAGTAACTCAACAAGAGCCACATGTTTGGCCTCCCCCACTGGAAATGCCTTGGGTCACATGATCATGACACATTCTTTCGCAATGTAGGTGGGCCTTATCATCCACCTTTCTGGCGTTGTCACAAGCCGCGGGCGGGGCTTTCAAATATAAAAAGGCGGGAGGGGGGCGCGGGGGGAAGCGTCACATGAGTGGTGTCCACAGGATTACTCTATACCTCTCGTGAGCCTTGACAGCGTATACCAAGATGCTCAATACTCATGCAGTACCCACGTAGGATTCAAGTTAAAACAAAAACAAGGGCGCAGCGCCTCCCCCCAACAGAACAGTATAGGTGGGCCGTATCATCCACCTTTGTGGCGTTGTCACAGCACGGAAGCACAGCAAGCATGTTAGCTGCTTGCCTGGTTGGTTGGTTGTTTGGTTGCTTGGCTGGTTCGCTTCTTCGCTGTCTTGGTTGTAGTCGTTTGGTGTGTGTGTGTGTGCGTGCAACCGAACCAAAATAACAAAAGGTTGACAAAACAAGAGCCATACATGTGGCCTCCCCCTGGAAATGCATCGGGCACCAGTGCCATGTTCCTGAAAAAAGCACCAACGCGCCTCCCCCCGCAAAGCGTCACATGAGTGGTGTCTACAGGATTACTCTGAAATACTCTATACCTCTCTTGAGCCTCGACAGCGTATATAAATATGCTCCATACTCATGCAGTACCCACGTCGGATTCAAGTTAAAACAAAAACAAGGGCACAGCGCCTCCCCCCAACAGAACAGTATAGGTGGGCCGTATCATCCACCTTTGTGGCGTTGTCACAGCACAGAAGCAAACCAAGCATGTGGGCTGGGTGGCTAGTTGGCTGGTCAGTTCCGCGGTTGCTCGGTTGCTTGGTTGGTTCGCTTTATATGTTTGGTGTTTTCAACTATAACCAAAGTAACTCAACAAGAGCCACATGTTTGGCCTCCCCCCCTGGAAATGCCTTGGGTCACATGATCATGACACATTCATTCGCAATGTAGGTGGGCCTTATCATCCACCTTTCTGGCGTTGTCACAAGCCGCGGGCGGGGCTTTCAAATATAAAAAGGCGGGAGGGGGGCGCGGGGGGAAGCGTCACATGAGTGGTGTCCACAGGATTACTCTATACCTCTCGTGAGCCTTGACAGCGTATACCAAGATGCTCAATACTCATGCAGTACCCACGTAGGATTCAAGTTAAAACAAAAACAAGGGCGCAGCGCCTCCCCCCAACAGAACAGTATAGGTGGGCCGTATCATCCACCTTTGTGGCGTTGTCACAGCACAGAAGCAAACCAAGCATGTGGGCTGGGTGGCTAGTTGGCTGGTCAGTTCCTCATTTGCTCGGTTGCTTGGTTGGTTCGCTTTATATGTTTGGTGTTTTCAACTATAACCAAAGTAACTCAACAAGAGCCACATGTTTGGCCTCCCCCCCTGGAAATGCCTTGGGTCACATGATCATGACACATTCATTCGCAATGTAGGTGGGCCTTATCATCCACCTTTCTGGCGTTGTCACAAGCCGCGGGCGGGGCTTTCAAATATAAAAAGGCGGGGGGGGAGGGCGCAGCGCCTCCCCCCGCAAAGCGTCACATGAGTGGTGTCCACAGGATTACTCTATACCTCTCGTGAGCCTTGACAGCGTATATAAATATGCTCAATACTCATGCAGTACCCACGTAGGATTCAAGTAAAAAAAAAAACAGGGCGCAGCGCCTCCCCCTTGCAAAGCGTCACATGGTCATGATACATTCATTCGCAATATAGGTGGGCCTTATCATCCACCTTTGTGGCGTTGTCATTGCATACAGCGGTAGCAGTCATACCGTAATACTCGACGTAGCAGTTGGTGGGCCATACCATCCACCCAATCTCTCCATGATAAGATAATTTGCACCCACAAAGCCACCCGGCCACTGGCTTGATGTTAAAAAGTACGACTAGTATAGCCCTAGAAGCAGCAATAGCACCAAAAGAACAAAACCCAGCTACGAACCGGAATACCTCCCCCTTCCCTCCCGCCCCCCCTCCCCGCCCACATCATGGTGGGCCATATCATCCACCTTTGTGGTTTTGTCACAGCATGGCAGCAAAGCACGCACTTGAATTTTGACGACAAGTTTGATCACATACGCTTGGAACAGAAGGTGGGCCATATCATTCACCTTTGTGGCTTTGTCATAGCATTACAGCAAAGCACGCGCTTAGACTAATTGATTTACTATAGACTGTACTCCTGCGTGTGCGCTGATAGGGTTGGATCCAAACAACAACAGGAGCGCAGCGACTCGATCCCAAATCAGAGTGTCAATATTTATTCTCACATGGAATGGTGTTGGTTGAATACGATATCCAGAATGCCAGAATGTAAGTATGAAACACATGTACCTTGTGAAAATGTAAAATGTAGAGTTTAAGTTGAAGCACAAACGTGCAAATACTTTGCTGGGGAACTATCAAAATGCGCCTTGAAGTTCTAGTCCTCAAACGTGCAAATACTTTGCTTCCCTTCTTTCATTCCTTCCTTCCTTTCCTGCTTCCCTTCTTTCCTTCCTTCCTTTCTTGCTTCCTTTCTCTCCTTCCTTCCTTCCTTCCTTCCTTCCTTTCCTGCTTCCCTTCTTTCGTTCCTTCCTTCCTTTCCTGCTTCCCTTCTTTCCTTCCTTCCTTTCTTGCTTCCTTTCTCTCCTTCCTTCCTTCCTTCATTCCTTTCTTCCTTTCCTGCTTCCCTTCTTTCCTTCCTTCCTTCCTTTCTTGCTTCCCTTCTCTCCTTAAATTTCTTTTTGATGATTTATTTTTTTTTGATGAACTATTTTTTTTGGTGAGAATTATTTTTTTTGATGGTCCTCCCATCCCAGTAGAGTTTTTTTTGCACCAACTATTTCATGTTCATATATCCTCAGCTGTCACACACCGGTTTGTTGTAATTGCAAGAATTTGTTGAAATGTTTGAATCTGGGGTTGGATGGGTTTCAACTGGAATATGCTCCTCGCCAGTGGGAAATCATGCATCAAAAAAAACGCTTGGTTTTGGTCGGGTAAAGTCGCCCATTCGGTATTTGTCACTTTTGAAGGTTACACACTTCCACAAAAAGAAAATAAATAACGCCAGCAAAGCGAACTCAATGGCATTCCAACTAGTTTTCCCATTCTTGCTGCGGAGATCCAAATGACCATGCCTGGTTCTAATACCCTGCATTGGCCACGACCTAAAATTGTATATATATATGTGTAGATAATTGTAGATATATGATATAGGAGACTAATCCGTGTAAGAAAGTGTCGGCTGTGCTACTGCCCTAGTGTGGTTGCCAAACGATTTCTTTGCAGTTTGGCGAGATCTTTCAAACAGTTAAACCCAGTTTCGCCCATAGATCTGATGGAATTTGGTGAAAAAATTGCCTTGTCTTTGGATTGGCATATTTACTGTAGCCATGAAAACAGTGAGAACTTTTTGCCACCGTCAAAAAGTGGCCCTGACTATAGTGTTGCACCCTGATTAGTGTAATAGCAGCTATAGGTTTGCTATTGTGACTGGAAGAGTCGAAATTATTCGGAACCCATGATCGGGGCACCCCTAAGCATGGGTGGGGGAGGACACCACCCTTTTCCTTTTTAGCTAGGGGTTCCCTATTCCTGGAGGAGGGTTCATGATGTTTAATCTTTGTTTTTTTGAATCACCCAGGGTTATGGGTGAGCTCCATGGAGTTTGAAACACAAGTGATGCCACAAGTTGGCATGAAAGCTGTCAATGCAGGTTCCCATCATCAAAATAGAAAACAAAAAGTAGTATCCGCCAACAAGATTTCACTGATCTGTTTGGGCGTGACATGTAATCCATGAATACAAACCAAACCCACTGAAGTGATATCACCTACAGTGACCTACAGATAGATATATCGATGCACCTGGTACCCATGCAGCAATAGCTGGCATGCAACCACTTTTCCTTTCACTTCCCAGGCCATGCGGTGATTGCCACCAGCTGCAACTGATGAGTCCGTTCTCTTGCACATGTTGTCTCTTACCGATTAAACCTGGCAGCAAAATCCTGCTTCAGAAGATCTCATTATAAACCTAGATTTTAAAATAGCAGCGCCAGGGCTTCGACGCGGGCCCCGCAGAACCGCGCGCCACTGACAGATAGATGTCAAAAACCAATTTGTGCTCTATCTCCGTATCGGTATCGTGTAGACTAGCAAAACTTGAATATACTTGAATTTAAAAGTAATCATGTCAAAATATTGCTGTAGAATCAATTTTGACATGATTACTTTTATGAGATCTTCTGAAGCAGGATTTTGCTGCCAGGTTTATTCGGTAATGGACACCATGCGGGGAAATAGAAGGACAAAACCCTAGGGGACGCGCCGCAAAGGGTCGAAAATGACATGCGCAATAAGCATCGATTTTCATGACATGCCCTGGTCTTGCACCCAAAATTGCATCCAAAAACATCGAAAAAAAACAACCCGCACCTAAACAAACACCCACAAAAAATGATATGTGTATATTGTTATGATTGTTTCATTGTTTGATACCGATTTTTTGGTCACAAAGCAGCCTCAAATTTGTGATTTTTTTGGGAACCATTTGGGGCCACCTTATGGAAACCCCTTGAAAACAGATTTTCCAAAAATAGGACCCCACCACGGGTACCTCGCCCATGATTAGATTGGAAGTTTCACTATTGTGGGAAAATGTGTTTGGCAGACCTCATTTTGTCAAAAACAAATGCTATGTGAAAAATTGTTTTCTTCGAGTGATCCCCACCCTTACACACTATTCTGACATAGTTTCTGACATACCATCTGAACGTATTTATATATTATTGCCTATCTAGCCTGTTTTGGCATTCTATCTGACATTCCTTCTGGCATTCTATTTGGCTTCAGTTCTGACCTTCTTTCTGGCATATTATGTGTCTGGCATATCTTCATGACATTCTTTCTGGCATTCTATCTGGTATATCTTCGGAGACTCTTTGTGGTTGAGGTCCGGCGGGGAACACTCTGATCCGCAGCTCGCGGTTGAGGTCCGGCGGGGAACACTCTGACATGAGGTTGCTGTTAGGGTCCCCGGCGGGAACACTGCGATCTAGCGCTTGCAGTTAAGGTCCGGCAAGGAAAACTTTGCTCCAGAGGTTGCTGTTATCTAGCGCTTGCAGTTGAGGTCCGGCGGGGAACACTCTGATCCTGAGTTTGCTGTTTGGGTCCGGCGGGGGACACTGCAATGTAGCGCTTGCAGTTGAAGTCTGGCGGGGGCGGAGGAGGAGGTGGAGGAGGAGGAGGAGGCGGCGCGACAGCTGACATAAAATCTAACAACCCTCACCTGACAGGTGGGGAAGCACTGAACATTCTGTCAAAAATCTTGCTTGACTGCCTTTCATAAAAGAATCAGATCGCTGATTAAACCCTTATTAAAGAACAGCCTTTCCACAAATTTCCAAGGCACTGGGCCATGAGAGGGCCCAATTCACTTCAGTAGGCAGTAGGTTTGTTCCTGGGGTTCAGAATTGCAGCAAACTTTTCCAGAGCTGGTGCTGGCTGATGCTGGAGCCAAGAGAAGAAAGGAAGGCATTGTCCAAGAGCGCCTTTCCCACCAGAAACAGATCGCTTCTTAAGTCCTATTAAAGAATTGCCTTTCCACAAATTTCCAAGGCACAGTTCACTTTATAGTCACTGTAGTTGGTGTGTTACCTAGGTTCAGAATTGCAGCAAACTTTTTCCGGAGGTGATCCTGGAGCCAAGAGAAGAGAGAAAGGTCTTTTACAAAAGCAACCTTCTCTTTCCCTTTCTCTTTTCCTTTCTCTACCAGTAACTTTCCGTCTTTATCTTTCTCTTCCTCTCCCTCTCCCTCCCCTCTTCTTCCTCTTTCTATTTCTCTTCCACTTCCTCTTTCTCTCTCTCTCTCTTTCTCGCGCTCTTTCTCTTTCTCTCTTTCTCTTTGTCTCTTTCTCTTATTATACACCTCTAATGAAAGGCTTGAGGTGCAAAAGGTAACGCAATCAACATGCCGAACCCTACAAGCATTAAGTATTACAAGTATTACAAGACTACAAGTACTACAAGTACTGCAAGTGCTGCAAATATCTCACAAGTTCATCAGCACAAAAAACGTTTTAATTAGATTTTTATTGTCGCCAATTAACATCCTTACTTACATGTAGGATCGTGTTTTTCTCTGGGGAACAGCTTTGAAAACTCAATTGCAAAGAGGGTATAGCGGTATAGCATTCGCTTGAGGGGGGGTTACACACAAATCAGGACAGAACATTACTTGAAAGCACAAAAGTCACCCGCGGTCGGGTAAAGCCGCCTTAACCACAAAAGGCTTGATTCAAAGGCAAGAATTAGGCACATTGGGGAAAATGTAGGTATGTCATGGTATGTCCATGTCCCATTCAATGACCTGTCTTCCTGTCTTCCTCTCTGGATCATCGAATTCCGCGCCTCCTGTAGAACAGGCAGGACTTCGGCGGGGGCGAGACTTATGCAGGTATGGTGCCAGTTGTTGACCACCTCAGTGAGAGCACCCAGGTCGTTGCCAGCTTTGGGGGTGAATTCTGGTTGCTGTCAGCATTCGCCCGATTTTGCCCAGGCACTTCCAAACGTGCCCCGCCTTCCAGCAGCGCCTTTACCGCAGCCGTGCGTTTGTTGAGGACGGCAAAGAACATCCTCAGGCGCGCAGGCATCGCCCTCTTGCACGTCATATTATGTCATGGGTTCCAACTGATGTTCATCAGGAATGTCAAACATCCTTTCGAACTGATGTTTTTTGGGGTATGAAAGTTTGGGTCTGAAATGAGCAAGCAAACAGCAACCCTAACGATTGCTCAAGATGCTTACACATCGTCACAGCAAACCTAATCTTGCCCTGCGCTCCAGCAGCCCAGTTGCGCCGTTTCCCCATTCTTGTCCACCACGTTCGGATTGGCACCTTTACTGATTAGGTACCTGATAGCAAGGTTGGGCCAGGCAAAACGGATTCCTGAGTCACATCGAGCAAAACCAAAAGTACCTGGTGATTGAAATCGTTTAGGCACGTTAAAACAAGTTGGCCGCATGCGTTGCTGAGAGAGCTGTCCACAAAGTTGTATTTAAAACTATGAACGTTTGCCCGGGTAGTTGAACGTCTTGAAAATTTGTTTGGACTGACCCCGCCTGATGGTATTCGCATGTCCCTGACGGGCAGCGTAAAAGAGGGCGGTTTGATCTAACTCCTTGGTGCCCGGATAGCCGGAGACGAGGACAAAGCGATCGCATGCAACAGCAGCTGACGAAGCCACGTGCAAGGGACGAAAGCCAGCTGGGCTGGGCGGATATTTTTTCACTAGAATCTTTACATTAACTTGCAAATTGCAAGAAAAAACAATGATATTGAACAAAAATGCAACGGCGTTCAAACTTGATGGTGAAAGATGAGAAACATTCATGACGGTGCAAGTGATGGTGATGGTGATGGGAATTGTGACGATGAGATGATGATCATAAAAATCATTAAGGTCATGATGGCCATGATGGTGATGATGGTCATGGTGGCGGCCGTGGTGGCGATGAAGAGGAGGAGGAGGAGCGTGAGAGGGGGGCGGGGGAAGAGGAGGAAAAGGAGACAAAGGACGCAAAAAAACTGAAGAGGAGGAAGAGGAAAAGAAGAGGATTACCTTTTTTGACTGATTGCTTGATTGCTGGATTGACAGATTGATTGATTGACTGATTGATTGATTGACTGATTGATTGATTGGTTTATATATGGAAAATTGATATATGGATATATTGGGATATGATATATTGATATAATGGTAAATTGGTACACTGATATACTGATTAAAATATAATATAGTAAATATATTTATATATATATATTTGATTTATTGGTATGTTGAGGTACTGAAATAATGAAATACTGATATCGATATATTGACACATTGGTTTATTGCTATACTGCTAAACTGATATTCATATACTGCTAAATTGAAAAATTGACATACCGAACTTTTGGAATAATGATCTACCGTATATTGGTATTTTGGTCGAATCATATATTGATGTCATGATGTATTGATATTTGATATATTGAGGCATATTGCTATAGTGATATAGACACTGACAAAGATAAGGATGTCGATATTGATTTGGTGGTCGATCTAAAAAGGTCCTTGTAAGGAGTTTTAATTGCGAAAGCCGTGCATGTTATGTTGGAAACCCTCGCGAAAGTTTTTGTTCAAGTTCGCGAAAGTAACATTTTTTTTCGCGAAAGTTTCGCGAAAGTTGGATATCATGATTGCCTACCATAGGTTCCGCGAAAGATAAACATGGAGTTCGTGAAAGTTTCGCGAAAGAAACATTTTTATTCGCGAAGAATCGCCGTTCCCGGAGAAAGGATTTTGATCATATTGATATTGACAAAATTTAATTGATGTTGCTTGATATTGATTAATGTTGCTTGGCGCTGACTGATAATGGGTGATATTGATTGATTTTGACTGGTGTTGATTGATTGGTTGGCTGATTGACTGGTTGATTGACTATTGTTTGATTGCTGGGTGGTGATGATGATGCGATGTCGGTGAAGAGGGTGACCATGGTGAATGATGATGGCGATGAGGGACGATGACCATGGGCGCCAAGATCACGATGATAATGCCTCCATCCTAACGCACAAGGTTAAGGTGGAGCTGTTTGTCCTGATAAATTCGACTTCATGCCCACTTTCAGCGTTGTTTGAAAAGACTTGTCCACATGTCCACGTGTGTATAGATGGAAACATATCTTCCAAGGCGAGATAAGCAAAGCAGATTGAAGACAACATGCCTGTGATATGCGTACATCAGGTTACGAGGGTTGTCTCGCAGGGGGGGCCGGGTTGACTAATGTTGACTATATGAAGTCATCACGTGGTTGGCGCTTCCTGACCACCATCAGCCTTGTAGAGCAAGAGCAACTACAGCTTCAGCTAGCAGTTTGCGACGTCATCTGGGCGTTGGTCAACTTGCTTCAGCAATATGACCTGTACATGTTAATTTCTATGAATATCAAACATCTTTTTTTAACCAAGGTGTACGTTCGGCACGTGTTCATTCAGCATCTTTGATGGACAGTTCATTAACCCAGCTTCGCAAACCAACAGCAGTGACGGTTCCAAATTCAAGGCTAAGGGACACAAGTGAGAGATAACTAGAAGATCACATCTGGGAGGCAATTGGGAAACTAGTGAGAACCACATCTGAGAGACAAGTGGGCGTTGTGAGGAACAAGCGGAAGACAAGTGGGAAACATCACGGGACAATTGGCAAACACGAGACAATGGCAAGGCCACATCTGCAAGGCAAACGCGCGACAGTGGGTGACAAGTGGGAACATCTGAGAGACAACTGGGAAACAAGTGGGTGACAATTGGAAGACACTAGGAGGTAATTGGGATAGCACCCACCGGCTCCTAGAGATTGAAGCTTTCTGCTGTTGGGAATAGCGTGTTTGAAAGCACCAGGTTTGCTTGAGGAAGGTCGTCTCCCCAACTGGATAGGCAGCAACTTGGTCTCTCTACCTTCATGCATTTCCTGCACTCCTGCCACCCACATCTCAAATGAAATGGGAAACCATTTTGAAAATCGGTTTCTGAATCTTAAATGAAAATAGGCAAGTAGAATATGGATCATTTTTGAAACTCTTTAGGAAAGATTCAGCCCAGGTGTGGGTAACCTGATTTTATCAAAGCCTTTCACATACGTTGGAACTGGGTTCCAGCTTGGCCATTGGCCCTGTAACTTGACTTCGAGGTTGCTCCAAGCCACATCACCATGGTTGATGTCAATGCCGTCAATGCCGCGCTCCACCAGCATTTTGCATAGAGCCAAAGCCTGCAATGAATGCCGGACGTCGGGAGTCAGGGATAAGGGATACTGCCCCCAGCTTTTTGAATCGCCCTGAACCACAGTACCCCTCTTTATACAACCAGTTGTTGCAGGGACGCTTTGGGCTGCGGGACTGTGCCTCGGCATCCTGTCCAACCGGCCGTGCCGCTGCAAAAAAAACAATCGTCTGATCACATGGTTTGTAGCCTCGAAAAATGGGCTGCAAAGGATTCAGCACATTCAGGTTGGCTGAGATTGTTAACTTGCACGAGCTAGTGCCGAAATAGAATATGCGTTTTCCAGGTGTTCTGGAACTTGCCAGGTTTGAGATTGCAATCGTATGTGCGTCGGACAAGGATCAGCTACATGTTGGCAAATCTTTGCCTATAGGAAGTTATATTCCTCAGATACCTCAAAATCAAGACAAAAAACAATATTGAATTTATTTTCCAAGCAAAACATATTCGTTACTTTATGATCAGGGAATGATGCTCACATGATTGATTATTCATGTAGAGCTGCCAGTGCCACGGCATAAAGGCTCAAACTAAGAGCCTACGATGGAGAGGAATATAACTATATATATATAATATACATACACATCCATATCACCATTGTTTTGTGTTGTTAGCTGCTGTTCATGCGTCTTTTCCCTATAAAGGGGCATCTCAATATCAAGAAAAAGGAAGGACAATCTCAGTTCTGACTCTGGTTGGCCTTACATTCATTGCATGAAAACTTCCAAATTATAAATCCCACGCAAGAAAAAACACCTATTCATATTCCAGTGGCGAACAACAAATTTCAAATTCAGAAGCACACAAATGAGGTTTCTACATGTAAAAGTGTGATGTATCCATTCTTTTGAAGAAAAGATGATAGAGATATCCCTTATACCCCTGGCCAATCCAAACACAAGAATGAACAAATACCCTTCTAAAAAAGGGACATCTCCATTCTGAATGCATATGGTTTCATTCTTTGGGAAAAGATGTAAACCATTCAGAGTTCCACAGAAAAAAATTGGAAATTAAACATGTCCGCAAAAATTCTCCATTCAAAACGGTGGTTTCTCCATTCAGAATGGAGAACGGACATTTCTCCATTTAGAACGGAGATTTCTCCATTCAGAACGGAGATTTCTCCATTCAGAATGGAGATTTCTCCATTCAGAACGAGGAGATTTCTCCATTCAGAATGGAGATTTCCCCACTTCTCCATTCTGAATGGAGAAAACAATTTAAAAAAAAAACGGTACTTAGACTGGAGGATTTTTTCCGCAGAATGGAGATTTGTGAATTCAGAATGGAATTTTCTTTATTCTGAATGCAGGAAATAAAATCAGTAGTTAGAATGGAGAAAATTTCCATTCAGCATGGAGAAATCTCAGTTCAGAAGTTAGAAGGAGAATTCTCCATTCTGAATTGAGAAAATGGTCTGGAAGAAAAAAGAAAGACACATTTCAAAAAAAAAGGTTCATAACGCGCGTATGAAAAAGTTTGAAATGGAGAAATCTCCATTCTGAATGGAGATTTCTCCATTCCGAATGGAGAAAATGCACTGGAAAAAAAGACAGACAAATTTCAAAACAAAAGGTTCGAAACGCTCCTGAAAAAGTTTGAATGGAGAAATCTCCATTTCTGAATGGAGATTTCTCAATTCTGGATGGAGAAACAGTGAATCATAGTTTCGAAAAAAAACGCAGATATATGATATATAAATATAAACAAAGCCTTCAAAAGTCTTTTGACAAAGGCAGACTGGAGAAATCTCCTTTTTATTTTCCCGATCTCTCAGACAAAAAAAATATTGAAAAATCATTTCCATTCAAAAAAAACGTTTTTCACCTATTCTTGAAATTAAAGAACGTTTTTTTTTTGAAAAAACTACGGCAAAACGTTTTTCCAAAAAAGTGAATGGAGATTTCTCCAATTCATTTTTTTCAGAAACGTTTTGATTTTTTTTTGAAATGTGTATCTTTTTTTTTCCAGGACATTTTCTCCATTCTATTTTTTTCCAGAATGGATCTCCATTCACTTTTTTTGAAATTTCACATGTTTGTTTGCAAACCATGAATGTTTTTTACTTCAAAAGTAATTACTTGAAAACATTTTTTTGTTTCTGAATGGAGATTTCTCCATTCATTTTTTTTGGGTTGCAGATTTCTCCATTTTTTTTCAGTTGCGATTTTTTGGGTTTCACCAGAAAAATGCAGAAATCTCCATTCTGAATGGTGATTTCTCCATTATTTTTTTCGGTTGAACAAATTCTCTATTTTTTTTTTCAGCTGTGATTTTTCCGTTTTCACCAGAAGAATGAATATTTCCACTTTTTTTTTGGTTGGAAAGTTCTCCGTTCTTTTGTGTTCAACTGTGAATTTTCCAGTTTCACGAGAAGAAGTGAAGAAACCTGCATTCTGAATAGATTTGAATTTCTTTTGTTCAAACTACATTTCCTTTTTGCACCAAATTAGAATGGAACAAAAATATCATTTTGGGGATTTCTCTGTTTTTTGGTTGGAGATTTCTTCATTTTTTGACTGTGAATTGTTCATGTTCTCCAAGAGAATCGAACAGTCTCCATTCTGAAGCGAGGTTTAGCCTTTTCTTTTCATTTTCAGCATTTTTCAGCAGAAAAATGCACCAATCCCTAATCTGTCTTTTGTTGCTTACTTTCTGCCAAAAAAAACTGGAACAAGGAAGCACCTTGCAACACGGAGAAACCGCCATTGAGAATGGAGACGTATCCAGTCCTTTTTTGGTTTGTCTTTTTGAAATTTCTTAGAATACTGTTTCTGCATTTTGAATCTTTAATGTTAATCAAAAAATGGAACCATAACTATTCAGAACAGATAAATATCCATTCCGAATGGAGACAAAATTTCACCAAAAGGATGCATCAACCTGCAAGTAAAATGGAGAAATACCGGTTCTAGAAGGGCAAATCTCCTTGTATGCTTTCGTTCAAGTTTGACCAAAAGGAATGAAACACCACCTGTTCAGAACCAACAACTTTCATTCAACATGAAGATTTCTCCGATTCATTTGAGCACATAGACACTTTCCTCTTCACCACGGGAACAAACAACAGTCCATTCAAATGCTTCATTTCTACATTGCTTTCATCGTGACTGCAGCACCTCTGAGTTGGATTTTTTAAATTTACAAGTCCAGGTTTCTCAACTCTTGGGTCCTGGGTTATGTTTTTCCCGAGAGCGTCTGAGCGCAGGGTTCTTCCAATAGTGGGGGTCTGTATCTCATCTTCTCATCTTTTCATCTTCTCATCTTCACACCTTCTCTCATACCTTCTCATCTTCACATCTTCTCATCTTCACACCTTCTCATCTTCACATCTGCTCATCTTCACACCTTCTCATCTTCACATCTGCTCATCTTCACATCTTCTCACCTTCACATCTTCTCATCTTCACATCTGCTCATCTTCACATCTTCTCATCTTCACACCTTCTCATCTTCACATCTGCTCATCTTCACACCTTCTCATCTTCACATCTGCTCATCTTCACATCTGCTCACCTTCACATCTTCACATCTTCTCATCTTCACATCTGCTCATTTTCACATGTGCTCATCTTCACATCTTCTTATCTCCACATCTTCTCATCTTCACATCTGCTCATCCTCACATCTTCTCATCTTCACACCTTCTCATCTTCACATCTTCTCATCTTCACACCTTCTCATCTTCACATCTGCTCATCTTCACATCTGCTCATCTTAACATCTGCTCATCTTCACATCTGCTCATCTTCACATCTTCTCACCTTCACATCTTCTCATCTTCACATCTGCTCATCTTCACATCTTCTCATCTTCACACCTTCTCATCTTCACATCTGCTCATCTTCACACCTTCTCATCTTCACATCTGCTCATCTTAACATCTGCTCATCTTCACATCTGCTCATCTTCACATCTTCTCACCTTCACATCTTCACATACTCACATCTTTTCTCTCTCTCTCTCTCTCTCCTCTTTCCTCTTTCCTCTCTCCTTTCTCTCTCCCTTTTCTCTCTCTTGCCTTCTTTATCTTTCCCTCTTTAGGCCGAGGGTGGTGCCGGCGGGGAGTCACGAAACGTCAACCCTTTCGCACGAAATGAGGATCGATCGTCAAAAACTGAGGTAAAATTGCGATTTTACTTACCCCTTTCGCACGAAATGAAGGTTGGTGCGCAAAAACTGAGGTAAAATTGCGATTTTACTTGTGCTGGAGCAACCCTTTCGCACGAAATGAGGGTCGATCGTCAAAAACTGCGGTAAACTTTCGATTTTACTTGTGCCGGAGCAACCCTTTCGCACGAAACGATGCTCGATGTTCGATGTGGAAAAACCGAGGTAAAATTGCGATTTAACTGGTGTTGGATGTAAAAGGGTGTGAGTGTAAGAGTGTAAGCGTTTGTGTGTGAGGGTCTGTGTGTAAATGGGGTCCGTGTGTCGCAGCTTCTGTGTGTCAAAGGGTTTCTGTGTCAAAGTGTCTGTGTGTAAAGGGGTTTGTGTGTAAAAGTTTCTGTCTGTGTGTAAGAGGGTCTGTGTGCAAAAATGTTTGTGTGCAAAAGGGTGTGGGTGTGTGTCTGTGTGTGTGTAAAAGTGTCTGTGTGTAAAAGCTTCTGTGTGTAAAAGTGTTTGTGTGAAAACGGGTTTGTGTGAAAAAGTGTTTCTGTGTAAAGATGTTTGTGTGTAAAAGTGTTTGTGTGTAAAAGTGCATCTGTGTAAAAGGGTTTGTGTGTAAAAGCTTCTGTGTGTAAAAGTGTCTGTGTGTAAAGGGGTTTGTGTGTTAAAGCGTCTCTGTGTAAAATGGTGTGTGTGCAGAAGGGATGGGATGGATTAGATGGATAGGCTGCTACCACAAAGAGACAAATCGATATATTATCTATTGAGATAGAAATAGAGATATGAGATAGAGATGGATGTATGAGTGTTAATATATGGCGGAATCAAATGGCAATAGCCTAAGATAAGAGTTTCAATTCAAGTCACAGTCAGGACTCAGGACCCTAAACCCAAAAAGAACATGGAAAGGAGCACAAGGGCAATCCCATTATATCATATTGTAATACTGTGCTTGTCCCAGCCCAGAAACGTCCGCCGCCTGCCAGGTCCGCCCGTTTATACTTTTTTTGGGGAGATGGCAAACCACCTTGGTTGGGGGGCCCCAAAGCACACAGCCCTCATGACATATTTATACAT